TGTTGTTGTTGTTGTTGTTGCTGTTGTTGTTATGTCTCCTGCTTTGAGACTTTGCTCTGACGAAGGGCTAACGCTTGAAACGTCAAACTCACAAACTTGCTACGACCGCTGTTCAAGGGTAACGCGGGCTGTGGGTACGAGATTTCTTCAGTTAGATAAATAACTAAGAATACCTTTCTACTTTCAGATGTTCAAACGAAGGATCTATCACCGTTTTCATTCAGCCCTTGCTTTTATGGTCTTTGCTCTACTTCAGCAATGTCATTTGACAAACCCATCGGAGGCTTGTGTTCCATCAGCTTCCTGTTCTTGCTCCACTGACTTCAACAACAGGATAAAAGTAACATGCCAGGTCGAAAGCTTGACCGATTTAACTTTGTCAATCAGCAAGCCAGAAGAAGTGCATCAGCTGTACGTTTATATAAGTCAAAGTTATTTGTTATAATTATTTATTTGTTACGATTGAATTCCTCGAAAGTTATGCAAGCCCTCGACTATGTATTGGGTTCTCGGGTTGGCATAACTGTCTCGAATTCTCCCAACCCTCCTCGAGTTTAGATAAGGCTATGTAAACACACAAAACGTGCTCTATTGCTTAAGTACTGGGCTATTGTTCACTATCAGCCATTAGTGTGCAGCGTTAGTGTACAGCACTTGTTTTCTCGTTTTTCCGACGTCTCAGAGGGGTATTTGAATTTTGAATTTAGATAATCCAATTCTCATGAATACTGCAGAGAGGAAACCAACCGTAAGGCTAGTTTTAAAACCTCAAAACTTGTTCAATGAACTGATGCGTGAGCGTGTGAAAACAGCTGCAAGGTTTAAACAACCAGCGATTAGTACTACTTAGTCAGTACAGAAGTAATTGGAAAACGTTATTTGCGGGAAATTCGGTTAGAATTTTAATAAAACATTTAGATTCTACATCATCATTGGTCATTGGTCGTTTGGAGTCAAGTGAGAAAGCGTGCGAACCTGAGGGATCAAATTTGTGTGCGACCGATCTTCGGGAGATCAAGTTTGGTCAAGGCGAGCTCTGCATTTTGCCAGCTATTTTAACCGACTATGAATTGACGGGAAGATGCAGCCGACCACCAAGACGAAGACGACCTTCTACGAGATGATATGGGACCGGCGACAGACGCAGAAAACACCGAGAGGACGAACAACACGAGCGACCTGCTCGCCGCTACGCCCGCCACCATAAAACAGACCATGCGACGACGGCGGGAAACTTTCCTCAATAGAAAATGTACTGAAATACTGAATGCTCACTTACCATGCTAAAAGACGCAAATCCACAACTGCACATCGCAATAAGCTCAGCGACGGTGCATCAGGCGATGAATCGTTTGACTCGGACGGCTAAGGCTCCTTGTTTAAGGTTACTCGTGCTCAACAAGAGGCAGCACCACCGAAAAGATCAAACGAGGTCGAGGACCCCTAGACAAGCTTCTTAGGCAACGTAAAGCAAGCGTAAGGTGCCGAAGAAAAGCTCCTTTGGGAGGTGTGGCTTCATAGCTCAGTTGGAAGAGCATCGCACCGGTATCGCGGAGGTCACGGGTTCAAGTCTCGTCGAAGCCCTGATTTTTTCAGGCTTCTTCTTTCCAATTGCTTAAATTGGAAAATTTACTGCGATGATCATTCTTCACTTTCATTATTTGACTCTGGGATTTGTTATCCACCCCTCAAAATCGGTCTTTTTACCATTTCAAAAGATCACCTATTTAAGTTTTGTTCTTGATTCAGTAGAAAAAGAAAATTTTCCTGACTCAGGAAAAAGCAGAGAAACTTAAAGATGCATGTGACAAATTACGTGCCTGTAGTAAACCCACTTTTAGGGAGGTCTCATCACAACTGGGCTTCATGACAGCCAGTTTCCCAGCTGTCAGGTACGGACCTTTACACTTTAGACTCATTGATATGGAAAAAGCTTGTGTTTTGCAGCATGCTAAGGAAAACGTTGACATGTGCATGCAGCTAACGGACCCCTCATTAGCCAGCGTTAAATTGTAGCGCGACTCAGTGCACAGTGCGTATAATTTTGTACGACATGGTCAGCCAGAAGTTATTATATTCACAAATGCGCCATCTTATGGCTGGGGACTGTTCTGCGCAGCACCACATCTAAAGGTGTTTGGAGCTCAAGTGAAGCGCCTCAGCGCATCAATTACGTTTAGATGTTAGCGAGTTCTTTAGCTTTTCAAACGCATCTTGAGGGAAAACATGCTAGAGTGATGATTGACAATACCACAGCTTTCACAACACTTGGGCACATGGGTGCAAGTCACTGGGCATTGTGCAGTAATTTAGCCCACCGCATAGGAGACTGATTCATTGTCTTTAACATTTGGTTTTCTACTGCACACATTCCAGGGAAGTTGAATGTTTTTTGCTGACCGCAAATCACGTAATACAACCACGGGAACTGGATGGGCTCTAAACCAAAAGGTGTATTGTGATGCAATAGCAAAATTAGGTGTTAAACATAAGCATTGACCGTTTTGCCTCAAGGCTAAAGGACAAAGTGAAACCGCCATTTGTTTTATATCAACCTGACCCTGATGCCTTCTACCTCCTCTACTAAGGCAACACATATTCCATTGGATACTGTTATGAAGGGTGTTGGAAGCTCAAATTCTGATGACTTGCCTTGACTTAGTCCTCTTCGCTCCTACCTCTTCGCTCCGACCGCTCGGACTCGGTTTCGTGCAGTCCGTTTCACTTGATTCCACGACATTCCCAAATCCTCATGCCTCTGCTGTATAGTCTTTCCTCCTAGGTGATGTTTGCTCAGAGCGTGGCAGATTCATTTCTATTTCCGTCTTCGCATGGCAACAGCAATCCTCTCCTGCTTGGTGGGCTGCCACAACTCCTCATTGGAGATCTTCTGGCCCGCACCCCTAAGATATACCGGAGCGTTCGATTGGTGAAGGTTTGGAATTGGGCGATGATCTTCTTTGATAGTCTCCAGGTCTCGGATCCATAAAGCAGAAACGACTTCACGTTGGAATTAAAGATACTTATCTACGTCCTCAGAGACATGAACTTTTGATCTCTACATTGGGCCGAAAATGGAGAATTCTGATACCTTCCAGAAATTCTACAACGTACCTGTTGGCAGCAAAGAGAAATTTCGAAACGAACTTTTAAAGTTTTGTAAACCTTGAGTTCTTGTTACTTACCTTGAGAGGTTCCCATACAACTAATTATTTCCAGTTTGTCAACTGACTGTTATCTCCTTAGTTGTGGCTCCTAGTTTCACAGGCTTAAAGTTCTCACGTGCCTCTAAACGACCAATGACCAATGGTCGAGGGCCACTGGTTTATCATTTTTTAATTGTCATGTGCTACCCTCGAAAAATAAAGTTGTTACTTACTTACTAATGATGACGTGGAATTCAGAAATTTAACGAAACGTACCTGTAAGGTGAAGTTGTTTGATTGAAATCAAACTTCACCTCACAAGTGAGTTTCGTTTATTTATTTATTTTTTTTTTTTTACTTATTCGCCCTCAATTTCATCGAGTACTTGTTAAGTGCCACAAATTCTGTCTCTGCTCCTTCAAGGCGTCAAGTGTCGGAGAGAAGTTTATCTCATAATTATAATATTATTATATTATTATTATCGTATCTAATTTATTTTATTTTCTATTTAGTAATTTTGATCTATGCCACGCTGAAAAAAGCTTGTATTTAATGTTTATTCTCCTTTTTAGAATTATTACCGGTATTATCAGCCCTAGCTTGCCAGAAAACGCATTTATCAACTTCAGTAACCTGGCTATATTGTAAGTATAGACCTAGAGATTTGGTAAATGGTGCTATTATCATTTCTTATAGTTTTAGTTCTCTTCATTTACTTTTCGAAATGATAGTGACACGTTTTCTTACTTTTAGATCTCTGAGGGGAAACAATCTTCGGTACATCTCAAATCAGTCTTTTAACAGTCTGCTTCAACTTTCCGAACTGTAAGTGAAGACTGTTTTTGATCGAGATTCATTTTGTAGTATGACGTATTAGAATAGACACTGTACAGTTAGTCTAGACCTATATGAAAAGGGATCGATAGATTTTTATTAAAAATTAAGACAGGAAAATAGGACACATGCAGTTCATGGTATGTTCATAACAATGAATCAAGGCTGATAACTACATAGAAAGCTTAAAACGGGACAATGACGTGATAGAGTCCAAACTGAAAGCCAAGAATTGCAACCGTGGACAGCTGTTTCGACCTGGTTGGGCTCGTCAGCATGGTGTAGGAACAAAAAGTAAAGCAACCGGCTGGTTGACCGATCGTCTACTAAATGCACATGGTAATGGTCTCAGATGAAACTCAAATCCAAACGTTTGCGGATTGGCCAATGGCACATGCAAAACGCCTGACCCCCGACAATAGACAGAATCCAGAATATCACCCTTGCTTCATTGTTATGTTTCTATTTTTGGCTGATCAGATCTTTCACAGATCCTACGTACACCAGCACCATTTTCGTTCGCGGTCCCTTGAATCATTGTATTACGTGGTTTGTACGTGGTTTGTACGTATTACTAAATAGTACGCAACCATGCTTGTAGATATTGAGATAAGTATTTTCTTCAACTAAACATATTTCATAGCTACCACGTCTATCTTTAAAGGGAATAAATAGTATCTTTATGTGCAATGCTGCAAGTGAGACCAAGAACACCAGATCAACTACTTCCCCACAACGGCACAAAATAAAGATAATGTTTTTCACTATTTGCAGGGACATTGGGGATAATAAGCTCCAAGAGTGGAAGGGCGACATCATTCATCAAATGCCATCCTTAACCACTCTGGATATCACAGGAAATACCAACTGGACGATGACTGAAAACATCCTGAGCCATAAATCTCTTCGGGTAATTAAAGGTGCATCAATAAGTGCGAACTGCCCAGTTTGCCGTCTTGATCGAACCTATGATGTAAGTGAAATTTCTGAGGGAAACGAAGGAGCTATCATACAAAAGGGCTGCATCAAACACAAGTACATTTTCAGCAAAAAGAATCAAAAGTTAACAAAGCACCATTTCTTCCCAAAGTGCATTGTTCAAGAGACTCGTTGCCTCAAAGCCATTGGTCGCGTGGAGACGTAAAACATTTGTTTAGAAGTAGGAAGAAGTATCTTAATTTCTGCCTTCCCCATTGGAATATTTGCTTTTTTTCTTAACCTGATTGTTCTTGCCGTCATAATAATTAACAAGAATTTAAGATCAAACACCTCCTTACTATTAGTCTCCAGCATGTGTGCAAGTGGTGTTATAAGTAGCGTTTACGCAGTCGCTATAGCAACCGTATACCAGATTGTACCAGTGAATGAAATTGAGAGTAAGCGTGTCTCCATATGCCCATCACTAGGATTTATAGCCACGCTTTCAGTGTCGTCCATGGTATTGATATCCCTTGCGGTAACAATTGAACGGTATTTGGCTGTTGTCTTTTGCATGAAACTTCACATCCGGCTGCGTGTCAAGCACGCGTATTACTGCTTATTGTTTACTTGGCTAATTGCATTGTCAATGGCGGGGTGGTCAGTTGTTGAAACCAATATCTATAGCACCAAAGGTTATGAAACTTACATCTGTCTTTCGATTCAGAGTGTCTTGGAAAAGAAATATCTTGCGTACACCATAACATCAATTATTATAAGTGCAATAGGTTATTTACCAACCATTCCGCTTTACATCCATATCTTTGTGGTGGTACGCAAGTCTGGCAGCCAATTTGGCATCAAGAGGGAAGCAAAACTGGCTCGAAGGATTTTTCTGTTAGTTGGGAGTAACCTATTGTTTATGGCAGTACCGATGTGTTTATCGCATGTTGCTATAGCAACAGGGGAAATGGGAGGCTTCTCTGAAAAATCGAGGTTTATTGTGGTAACCTCTACAAAAGTCATCTGCATGTCGACTAATGCCTTGTTAAATCCCATATTGTACGGCTGCAGAAATGATAATTTTGGAAAGGCATTGAAGAAGAGCTGGAAATGGTTTAGCAAACGAAGAGGAAGGAATAGACTGATGGATCGTGAAGATACACGTCACAAGAGTGATAAGTGCCAAAAGTCGCAAAATTGCTCAACACAATTGTGAAATAGCGTTAAGCCAAAGTAACGATCTCCCAAAAGTATCGACCTCATGTTGAAAAAAGCTGATACAAGAAGCTTTAAACGTACCAATCTGATCTTATGTTTGAAAGTGAATAACCTTTATTCGAAACTAATTTGTTACTCTGTTCTGTCACAAGTTTTAGACTTGTTATCTTTTGACGTTTATTTAAAAATATTACATTATTTCGTGTAGATGAATCGACGCAGATACGGCACACGTATAATTTACCCGAAAGTTGCACCGCGCCCTGAAATTTCCGACTCTCCCAAAGTATCAATGGTTAAAGACTGTTAAATCCGAAAGTAACGAGGGTTGCTACTTTCAGAGCTTTACTTTAATGAAAGTGGCAGTGATTAACGCGCTGCATTATTCGTATAACGTTATTTCTGACTTTTCTTAATACACCTCACTATTCTTCTTGGCCATCTATTGTTATTGTAAAGAGATGTTATATACTTGTTATATGGATGAAAATAGATGTTGCTTAGTCTTTTAAAAAAAATAAGCTAAAACACGCAAGAGTCACTTTGTAGCGAGGGTGGAAGAGAGAATACGAAATGTAAACATCTTGACTTTTATTGCATTGCACATAAAGGATGAGTAGTATCGCTATAATAAAATTATACCAAAGGCCGTTCTTTGTGGGTTTGTAAATAACAATAAACTAAATAACTTACTTCCGCCTCGGAACTGCCTTTTTTTTTCTTTTTTTGTGGAATCCTTATAACTTTTTAACATAGTTTTCAGCAAAAGTTCTAAATTTACCGAGGTCGTCTCTAAAAGACAACCACAAGTGTCTAACGAAGGATTTGTATACAACAACAACATGGAAGAGTAACGTAAGGCTGAAAGCTAAGGTTTGGTTCTCTGCCGATTCCCAAGGTTAAGGCGGATAGCGCAAACAGACTTTGTGATACATGTCACTACCGGTTTTAGTTGATCCCAGCAGTTTGCAGGACACGTTTCAGTGAAGAAAAAATAAATAAAAGTGGCCTTGCTCACCATTGGTTTCTCCGCTATCGAGCGGATAGGAGGCGTGCGCCCGAGGTTTGAAAGTCATGGCCTCGGACCCGGTCGTGGACTCAGATTTTTCTCTTTGCGCCTCACTTGTGAAATGATTAACATGACTTCTCTGTCATGCCACTGCTAAGTTTACAATTTAGCGTCTTTCGTCTTTAATTTAATCAGTGGTCGCACAAAAGCCAAAACATTAACCCTCAGCCGTAAAAGCTACCACCCCATTGAGACCCCCGGTAAAGCTTTAATGTTTTTGCGAAGTAAATTTGTGATGAAACAGAGGATATTATCAATGATCTTAAACTGTGGGTGTATTGCAAGAGAATGCACAAGAATGAAACGATTTTGCATGTGTATGTGCATTTTGCGGGTTGTTTAAAGCCCGCTTAAGCTGATCCAGGATTAGCGTAAATTTTGATTCAGTTTCATAGCTTTTCGCGGAGGTTTTCCGCTTAAATTTTTTGCCCTTCAGTTACGAATTTTTAATATTCTAAAACTGCACAAAACATAAGCAATGTAAAATTTAAGACAAAAAGCAGACCAATTCTGTCTTTCATTTTTTTTTCCTGTCAGCCCACTTGTTTACAGAAAAAGCTTCTCAGACGAGTACTATCCAAAGCTATCCATCCGGGTATTTTCCTCGGACGCGCACGATGGGCAAATAGTGTCTCTCCGCCGGTGGACACTATCGCGTCATGTGATCAATTTAAATAAAAATCAGAAAAAAATTACTGGTGAATTATAATGGCTTACAGTGTTCGAAGGCTCAGCTTATTACCATTTTCATTAATACTATAGAGGAATTCTACTCATAAATAATTAGCTCTTATTAACCGAGCAGGAGGCCTGTATGGGAGAATCTTGATAGAAGTCGTGAGCACAAACCGAACGCACTGAGATTCCAGAAACTGACGTCTGTGTACACGATCGATGTCAAGATTCTCCCATACAGACCAACTAAGCTTGGTTAATAACATGGCTATCATATGGCAAACAAGAAAAATTTAATTCGTTTAATATAACTGGTTTGTACTAGCTGACATTTTTCTTGCAAACGGCGATTAGCTGAACTTAAATCTGCCAAAGTTTGCTCGTCTTCCTTACTCTTTTTTCTCATCGGGCTTTTTGGCACTTCCATTTAGAGGAAAATAGTCAATGTTTGTATTTTAGTTTGCAACTTTTTCCCCGCAAAATGTAATCTGTCTAGATGCCGGTCTAGATGGAAAAATCTAGACCACTTTCAATATCGATTTCAGCCAATCTAATTCGGGAATTTGGCAGTTCCCAGTCCTTGCGAGACACGGCCATATAATTAACACTTAATGACTGGTCCCGAGGGGAACAGTGAATTTTGTTTCCCAAGAATCCCAATGTTTCCCGATACGAAGTCGAGGGAAACATTGAGATTCGAGGTCACACCGGTGGAAAAACGCGCTGAGATTCCAGCGACAACATCAGGCCACCTTCAACTGCAAGCTCTGATCACGTGCAACAGCGGTCAACATTTCGCGGGTAACAGTGAACGGTTTCTCGTTTGACGTCATAGTTTTCGCAATGTTGCTCGCTCATGGCATTTGGCGGTAAACAGTTTCATTGTTAGATGTCATGTGACCGTGAACTAGCCAATGAATGGGCGCGCTGTAGCGGGGAAAACTGCTCAATGGAACGATTTTCCCGGTGGCAGGTATCCAATCTAGATATCTCTATATGAGTAGTCGGACGATCTCTTGACGCACAATGAACTTGATTTCCACTCGACCTCTTTACAAGCTGTGCTAACTTCTTCCTGAAAGAGGGATTCATAACGCCATAAATCCAAGGATTTACTGCACTATTTGCCTGTAAGAAAAACGGCACAGCAAGACCAACAAGGCGTGGATAAGTCTCCCTTAAAGCAACGCGGAAAAGAAAGACGGCAGTAAATGTGGGCAGCCACATAACCACAAATGACAAGACCAGAGTAAAGAATGTCTTTGTCACATTAATTTCCTGCACACTGAGGCCTTGATGTGATGCAACTTGATTGTTGTGTTGTCGAATGCACTTTGATACATGGTAGTAACTGACTGCAATAATCAGAAAACTGCCAATTATGAAGATGATAACAACTAAAAAAGTAAATGTCATCTCCATAGTTTTGTGGGAAAAACGCCAATTGCAACAGGCCATTAAGGGGTTGAATCCCATTTCTGCCCATCCACCGATCACAGGAATCCACGTAAACAAGGCAACAAAGGTCCATAAACTGACGAGGTAACATGCAGAACGACGAATACTGAACACTATTTTGTAACGGCTTGGCTTTAAGGTACAGTAGTATCGACTGATGGCTATCAAAGCCATTGTAGACGTTGAGACGAGTGTCAGGAAATGTATAAAGAATCCGTCAATATTACACACCACAGAATTGTAGGGCATCTTCTGCGTAATTAGAGCTGCCAAGAAGAGTGGACCAGGTATACAAGCATTCAAAAAGTCCGTTACAGCCAAAGAAGTGATATAAATGCTGGTCGTTGTATCCAACCGAGGCTTCTTAAACACAAGCACAATTATGAGGAAGTTGCCAATGAAAGAAAAAACGAGGATCACTCCAGATAATGTTGACTCAACTACGACAAGAGGCAGCATTCTTCGTCTTTACCTCCAACCAAGCCAAAAAGTGCGTCTCCTTTTACGTGCTGGCAGAAATACACCCAGCTGTCAGAAAAAAAAGAAAGTGTATCGATATTTTGCTTTGCATTGAAATTTGTAGCCCAAGAAAATAGAGTGTAATTAAGTGATATGATTATTCGCATTTTTCAGATTACATTGCGTTTTTCACTTTTCAAAGTTTAATAGTGATGACAAAAGATAAAGCCAGATGATTTATCCAAGAAATGCGGTTCATACTGAAAGTTTTTAATTATAATGCGCGATATCAGATTCAGATACCGAAGTATCTTAGAAATGTCTCCATAGAAATACGACAAAACACATTTATACATAGAAAACCAGAAAATTCAGAAATGCAAGATGTTTGCTCTAAGATTGCCAAATGTTGTACAAGAACACTCCAAGATTTAAAGGTGTATTCATCTAAATTTAAGATTGAAGGTGTTACCTCCAAAATTGATGACTTTCTTACGTTTTATCGACCTCGTCAGAAATTATTATGGCCTGAATAAAATCCTGGAAGTAAATATATTGAACAGAAAAGCACTAATCATGAAACAACAGAAAGCGCCGTGATTTAGAAAACATGAATTCCGAATCCGTAACTTGGGATATACCTTGTTTACACAGTTAAGACAACTACTGAAAAGGACAAGATGCCTATCTTGAATGATAGTGGCATTGGATAAACAAGTTGATTTAAAAACAACCATGGAATTTACATTTGCTGAATGATTTTCAAATTGTGTTTATAAAACAAATGGAGATCAATTATTAAAAGATTTTACCTAGTTCCTCGAAGTGTCTATCAAAACGACCGAGATTGGAATCCCTAAGTTTTTGAATTTTTAACGTGCCTTCTATCCTGCCTAGTAAAGTAGAGACGACAGGCAACATGCATATTTTGTTGATTTTTACTAAACAATAGCTTAGAGGAAACGTCTCCGATTTCGTTATATACCAGGATTTCCCTTTGCGGATCGAGTTGATTCCCTCCCTAGATGAAGACATCTAACTTCACGCTACAAATGCACACATAAAGTCGAAAATTTCTAAATAGTATACTGCCATGTGGCTATTCTGAAATCAAGCAAGATTTTTTGAATTAGGCTCCTGGGCGTGACGCCTTGCACGATGCATATTACTAGCTACCCACACCTAAATAGGTTTCTAAAAGCAGCTCGCTCGCCCCTGTGAATTGAACAGCAATTCTGTTCTAAAGCGTTGATAAGCTCTTGTTCTAATTTAAAAAACATTTAAAATTATTCCATTTGATTACCTGAAGCGGTCAAAAAATTTTCTTTTCCAAAAGTATTCCGCAAGAGGTTAGTTCCTCTTTCAGGATTGCAAAGTGCAAACAAACAGAGCAACAATTATGGTATTTGTCGGTCATCTGCGAATAATTAAGCCTTAGCGGAATCGAATGCCACAATTCAAAGATTTAAAGCTTTCAAAGGTAAACAATCTCCGACATTCAAGACCACACATCCTACGCAATTTAGGACTTTCATAGTTCCGGTGTTTAATTAAATTTCACCACGTTCCCGAAAACCTAAGACTTACTTAGAACAGATTTTTGTCTACTAATCCGTAATAGATGCTCTCTCCATCGCAAAAAAACACTTCTCTATAATTCTCTTGTTTGAGCTTTAAAAAGCACAATGTTTATTGGCCAGCTCGGCTTTTTCTTGTTTCTCGATCGTTTACTTTGTACTTACCCGTTAGTTTATCATTGTAAGGTGTATACCGCCCAAGAAATTCCTCCAGAGCGTGCTCCACAAATATTGGAAGCGATGTGAGCCTTCAATAAATACGGTAACCCAAGTATCAGGCCTTTCTGATACTCAGACTAAACGCACTCTTCGTATTTATGGCTAACGAACTTCATTTATAGTGGTAATGGTTTTGCAATTCTTAAAAAGGGCGGAAGTCTCAGCAAACGATAACTTAATGTCAGTTTTTGTTGGTACAATATGTCAAAATAAAGGCCTTCATCTTTATTCAAACCACGAATCTCTAAGTTATGGAAGTTATGACTGGAGTGTAGATAGTTTTTTTGTACGCTAAAATGTTCCAATCAATTGAATGACAATTAACAACATTTCCCTGCCTGAAAAACTGGAAAAACGTGATAGCGATTTGCGTTTGCCCCAGTAAAAATGTAGAAATAATTGTGCAATAAATTTTACGGTAGGAAGCGGCATGCGGCAATTAATCATAACATTTTGTTCCAACCAGCCAGAGTCTGTCATTCTAATAGCCCATTTTTGGTCCGTGCTCAATATACTAAGTTTGCAAATTTTCTAAGATTGCTTTGTCTGGTAAGTCCCATAAACGACTTGATACAAAAAAAAAAAGGCAAGAAAAATTCCAAATTCTAAATTTTCTAAAATTTCTTTGTCTAGTAATTCCTCCAAAAGAATTCATGCAAATAAATAAGACCAAATATAGAAGTTTGGCACAAAGCCTTGGTTGCATATCGAGTGTGGGCCATTGGTCATTTCTTTTGACAGGGGTGTTGGATGGTTTTCTTTTACATGCCGCGCCGCAGGAGACTAGATCGCACGTAACCCAAGAGCGCAAAAGCCCAAAACTTCGCCTGTGAAAATTCTACAAATTGTTTATGTTATCTCAGTCTCGACAATTCTCATTCATTGGAAACCAATCTTCAGCGATTCTCTGACATTTTGGGCACTNTTATGTTTGAAAGTGAATAACCTTTATTCGAAACTAATTTGTTACTCTGTTCTGTCACAAGTTTTAGACTTGTTATCTTTTGACGTTTATTTAAAAATATTACATTATTTCGTGTAGATGAATCGACGCAGATACGGCACACGTATAATTTACCCGAAAGTTGCACCGCGCCCTGAAATTTCCGACTCTCCCAAAGTATCAATGGTTAAAGACTGTTAAATCCGAAAGTAACGAGGGTTGCTACTTTCAGAGCTTTACTTTAATGAAAGTGGCAGTGATTAACGCGCTGCATTATTCGTATAACGTTATTTCTGACTTTTCTTAATACACCTCACTATTCTTCTTGGCCATCTATTGTTATTGTAAAGAGATGTTATATACTTGTTATATGGATGAAAATAGATGTTGCTTAGTCTTTTAAAAAAAATAAGCTAAAACACGCAAGAGTCACTTTGTAGCGAGGGTGGAAGAGAGAATACGAAATGTAAACATCTTGACTTTTATTGCATTGCACATAAAGGATGAGTAGTATCGCTATAATAAAATTATACCAAAGGCCGTTCTTTGTGGGTTTGTAAATAACAATAAACTAAATAACTTACTTCCGCCTCGGAACTGCCTTTTTTTTTCTTTTTTTGTGGAATCCTTATAACTTTTTAACATAGTTTTCAGCAAAAGTTCTAAATTTACCGAGGTCGTCTCTAAAAGACAACCACAAGTGTCTAACGAAGGATTTGTATACAACAACAACATGGAAGAGTAACGTAAGGCTGAAAGCTAAGGTTTGGTTCTCTGCCGATTCCCAAGGTTAAGGCGGATAGCGCAAACAGACTTTGTGATACATGTCACTACCGGTTTTAGTTGATCCCAGCAGTTTGCAGGACACGTTTCAGTGAAGAAAAAATAAATAAAAGTGGCCTTGCTCACCATTGGTTTCTCCGCTATCGAGCGGATAGGAGGCGTGCGCCCGAGGTTTGAAAGTCATGGCCTCGGACCCGGTCGTGGACTCAGATTTTTCTCTTTGCGCCTCACTTGTGAAATGATTAACATGACTTCTCTGTCATGCCACTGCTAAGTTTACAATTTAGCGTCTTTCGTCTTTAATTTAATCAGTGGTCGCACAAAAGCCAAAACATTAACCCTCAGCCGTAAAAGCTACCACCCCATTGAGACCCCCGGTAAAGCTTTAATGTTTTTGCGAAGTAAATTTGTGATGAAACAGAGGATATTATCAATGATCTTAAACTGTGGGTGTATTGCAAGAGAATGCACAAGAATGAAACGATTTTGCATGTGTATGTGCATTTTGCGGGTTGTTTAAAGCCCGCTTAAGCTGATCCAGGATTAGCGTAAATTTTGATTCAGTTTCATAGCTTTTCGCGGAGGTTTTCCGCTTAAATTTTTTGCCCTTCAGTTACGAATTTTTAATATTCTAAAACTGCACAAAACATAAGCAATGTAAAATTTAAGACAAAAAGCAGACCAATTCTGTCTTTCATTTTTTTTTTCCTGTCAGCCCACTTGTTTACAGAAAAAGCTTCTCAGACGAGTACTATCCAAAGCTATCCATCCGGGTATTTTCCTCGGACGCGCACGATGGGCAAATAGTGTCTCTCCGCCGGTGGACACTATCGCGTCATGTGATCAATTTAAATAAAAATCAGAAAAAAATTACTGGTGAATTATAATGGCTTACAGTGTTCGAAGGCTCAGCTTATTACCATTTTCATTAATACTATAGAGGAATTCTACTCATAAATAATTAGCTCTTATTAACCGAGCAGGAGGCCTGTATGGGAGAATCTTGATAGAAGTCGTGAGCACAAACCGAACGCACTGAGATTCCAGAAACTGACGTCTGTGTACACGATCGATGTCAAGATTCTCCCATACAGACCAACTAAGCTTGGTTAATAACATGGCTATCATATGGCAAACAAGAAAAATTTAATTCGTTTAATATAACTGGTTTGTACTAGCTGACATTTTTCTTGCAAACGGCGATTAGCTGAACTTAAATCTGCCAAAGTTTGCTCGTCTTCCTTACTCTTTTTTCTCATCGGGCTTTTTGGCACTTCCATTTAGAGGAAAATAGTCAATATGTTTGTATTTTAGTTTGCAACTTTTTCCCCGCAAAATGTAACCTGTCTAGATGCCGGTCTAGATGGAAAAATCTAGACCACTTTCAATATCGATTTCAGCCAATCTAATTCGGGAATTTGGCAGTTCCCAGTCCTTGCGAGACACGGCCATATAATTAACACTTAATGACTGGTCCCGAGGGGAACAGTGAATTTTGTTTCCCAAGAATCCCAATGTTTCCCGATACGAAGTCGAGGGAAACATTGAGATTCGAGGTCACACCGGTGGAAAAACGCGCTGAGATTCCAGCGACAACATCAGGCCACCTTCAACTGCAAGCTCTGATCACGTGCAACAGCGGTCAACATTTCGCGGGTAACAGTGAACGGTTTCTCGTTTGACGTCATAGTTTTCGCAATGTTGCTCGCTCATGGCATTTGGCGGTAAACAGTTTCATTGTTAGATGTCATGTGACCGTGAACTAGCCAATGAATGGGCGCGCTGTAGCGGGGAAAACTGCTCAATGGAACGATTTTCCCGGTGGCAGGTATCCAATCTAGATATCTCTATATGAGTAGTCGGACGATCTCTTGACGCACAATGAACTTGATTTCCACTCGACCTCTTTACAAGCTGTGCTAACTTCTTCCTGAAAGAGGGATTCATAACGCCATAAATCCAAGGATTTACTGCACTATTTGCCTGTAAGAAAAACGGCACAGCAAGACCAACAAGGCGTGGATAAGTCTCCCTTAAAGCAACGCGGAAAAGAAAGACGGCAGTAAATGTGGGCAGCCACATAACCACAAATGACAAGACCAGAGTAAAGAATGTCTTTGTCACATTAATTTCCTGCACACTGAGGCCTTGATGTGATGCAACTTGATTGTTGTGTTGTCGAATGCACTTTGATACATGGTAGTAACTGACTGCAATAATCAGAAAACTGCCAATTATGAAGATGATAACAACTAAAAAAGTAAATGTCATCTCCATAGTTTTGTGGGAAAAACGCCAATTGCAACAGGCCATTAAGGGGTTGAATCCCATTTCTGCCCATCCACCGATCACAGGAATCCACGTAAACAAGGCAACAAAGGTCCATAAACTGACGAGGTAACATGCAGAACGACGAATACTGAACACTATTTTGTAACGGCTTGGCTTTAAGGTACAGTAGTATCGACTGATGGCTATCAAAGCCATTGTAGACGTTGAGACGAGTGTCAGGAAATGTATAAAGAATCCGTCAATATTACACACCACAGAATTGTAGGGCATCTTCTGCGTAATTAGAGCTGCCAAGAAGAGTGGACCAGGTATACAAGCATTCAAAAAGTCCGTTACAGCCAAAGAAGTGATATAAATGCTGGTCGTTGTATCCAACCGAGGCTTCTTAAACACAAGCACAATTATGAGGAAGTTGCCAATGAAAGAAAAAACGAGGATCACTCCAGATAATGTTGACTCAACTACGACAAGAGGCAGCATTCTTCGTCTTTACCTCCAACCAAGCCAAAAAGTGCGTCTCCTTTTACGTGCTGGCAGAAATACACCCAGCTGTCAGAAAAAAAAGAAAGTGTATCGATATTTTGCTTTGCATTGAAATTTGTAGCCCAAGAAAATAGAGTGTAATTAAGTGATATGATTATTCGCATTTTTCAGATTACATTGCGTTTTTCACTTTTCAAAGTTTAATAGTGATGACAAAAGATAAAGCCAGATGATTTATCCAAGAAATGCGGTTCATACTGAAAGTTTTTAATTATAATGCGCGATATCAGATTCAGATACCGAAGTATCTTAGAAATGTCTCCATAGAAATACGACAAAACACATTTATACATAGAAAACCAGAAAATTCAGAAATGCAAGATGTTTGCTCTAAGATTGCCAAATGTTGTACAAGAACATTCCAAGATTTAAAGGTGTATTCATCTAAATTTAAGATTGAAGGTGTTACCTCCAAAATTGATGACTTTCTTACGTTTTATCGACCTCGTCAGAAATTATTATGGCCTGAATAAAATCCTGGAAGTAAATATATTGAACAGAAAAGCACTAATCATGAAACAACAGAAAGCGCCGTGATTTAGAAAACATGAATTCCGAATCCGTAACTTGGGATATACCTTGTTTACACAGTTAAGACAACTACTGAAAAGGACAAGATGCCTATCTTGAATGATAGTGGCATTGGATAAACAAGTTGATTTAAAAACAACCATGGAATTTACATTTGCTGAATGATTTTCAAATTGTGTTTATAAAACAAATGGAGATCAATTATTAAAAGATTTTACCTAGTTCCTCGAAGTGTCTATCAAAACGACCGAGATTGGAATCCCTAAGTTTTTGAATTTTTAACGTGCCTTCTATCCTGCCTAGTAAAGTAGAGACGACAGGCAACATGCATATTTTGTTGATTTTTACTAAACAATAGCTTAGAGGAAACGTCTCCGATTTCGTTATATACCAGGATTTCCCTTTGCGGATCGAGTTGATTCCCTCCCTAGATGAAGACATCTAACTTCACGCTACAAATGCACACATAAAGTCGAAAATTTCTAAATAGTATACTGCCATGTGGCTATTCTGAAATCAAGCAAGATTTTTTGAATTAGGCTCCTGGGCGTGACGCCTTGCACGATGCATATTACTAGCTACCCACACCTAAATAGGTTTCTAAAAGCAGCTCGCTCGCCCCTGTGAATTGAACAGCAATTCTGTTCTAAAGCGTTGATAAGCTCTTGTTCTAATTTAAAAAACATTTAAAATTATTCCATTTGATTACCTGAAGCGGTCAAAAAATTTTCTTTTCCAAAAGTATTCCGCAAGAGGTTAGTTCCTCTTTCAGGATTGCAAAGTGCAAACAAACAGAGCAACAATTATGGTATTTGTCGGTCATCTGCGAATAATTAAGCCTTAGCGGAATCGAATGCCACAATTCAAAGATTTAAAGCTTTCAAAGGTAAACAATCTCCGACATTCAAGACCACACATCCTACGCAATTTAGGACTTTCATAGTTCCGGTGTTTAATTAAATTTCACCACGTTCCCGAAAACCTAAGACTTACTTAGAACAGATTTTTGTCTACTAATCCGTAATAGATGCTCTCTCCATCGCAAAAAAACACTTCTCTATAATTCTCTTGTTTGAGCTTTAAAAAGCACAATGTTTATTGGCCAGCTCGGCTTTTTCTTGTTTCTCGATCGTTTACTTTGTACTTACCCGTTAGTTTATCATTGTAAGGTGTATACCGCCCAAGAAATTCCTCCAGAGCGTGCTCCACAAATATTGGAAGCGATGTGAGCCTTCAATAAATACGGTAACCCAAGTATCAGGCCTTTCTGATACTCAGACTAAACGCACTCTTCGTATTTATGGCTAACGAACTTCATTTATAGTGGTAATGGTTTTGCAATTCTTAAAAAGGGCGGAAGTCTCAGCAAACGATAACTTAATGTCAGTTTTTGTTGGTACAATATGTCAAAATAAAGGCCTTCATCTTTATTCAAACCACGAATCTCTAAGTTATGGAAGTTATGACTGGAGTGTAGATAGTTTTTTTGTACGCTAAAATGTTCCAATCAATTGAATGACAATTAACAACATTTCCCTGCCTGAAAAACTGGAAAAACGTGATAGCGATTTGCGTTTGCCCCAGTAAAAATGTAGAAATAATTGTGCAATAAATTTTACGGTAGGAAGCGGCATGCGGCAATTAATCATAACATTTTGTTCCAACCAGCCAGAGTCTGTCATTCTAATAGCCCATTTTTGGTCCGTGCTCAATATACTAAGTTTGCAAATTTTCTAAGATTGCTTTGTCTGGTAAGTCCCATAAACGACTTGATACAAAAAAAAAAAGGCAAGAAAAATTCCAAATTCTAAATTTTCTAAAATTTCTTTGTCTAGTAATTCCTCCAAAAGAATTCATGCAAATAAATAAGACCAAATATAGAAGTTTGGCACAAAGCCTTGGTTGCATATCGAGTGTGGGCCATTGGTCATTTCTTTTGACAGGGGTGTTGGATGGTTTTCTTTTACATGCCGCGCCGCAGGAGACTAGATCGCACGTAACCCAAGAGCGCAAAAGCCCAAAACTTCGCCTGTGAAAATTCTACAAATTGTTTATGTTATCTCAGTCTCGACAATTCTCATTCATTGGAAACCAATCTTCAGCGATTCTCTGACATTTTGGGCACTGATAATTTCTAATGAAAGTACGACAACAGCCTAGAAATGACTGAGGTGGGAATGGGCCCCTTTTGTGATCTTGTGACGTCATATATGAGGAGATTATTGTGCGTTGTTGTCTCTGTTGATGATAACTTGATTTAGAAGATTCAGTTTCCTTCGAATTTTAAAGCCTACGTGGCACCATAAAGAATGGTATTTTCATAAAAATATGAGCTACAGTATAAATCACTTTGAATTGACAACAAATTCTACCCGCCATTCGTTAAAGAAATCCGAGATCCCAATAGTTCCGAAACTTGTAATGGTTTCGAATTTCTTGATACTTCTAACGTTCGTAATCGGGTCACTCCCTGAGTAGCACTTCACTACCTCCAAATAGTATTACTAGTAAAAATGATAATGTCGATGTTGCAAAAGGGCAATAATCACGGAGGGAATAGTCCTCTGTCGCATAATGTATAATAAATAATTAGATTCATTAGTTCAAGTACACGTGATGCTTCTAGTACCACACGAAACGACTGCTCAATAGCTTTTATGGCGACATAAAAGCTCTTTTCCATTAACATAGGGACAAAGCAGCATTAAATGACTAGGTATTGACACAAGAAGTTAAAGAACCAAACGTTCCACTTTCAAGAACGTTAATTGGAAGACGCTATTAAACCTAGCTATTTAGTTTAAATAAAAAAAAACTGCAATTTTCAAAAGTCGTCGCGAGAGCACAAAAATTAACGCTCGCAGGGCGGCATTTGTTTATAGATCTATTGCTTCCTTGCAACCGAAGTTGCCAGATTCAGCCGTTCAGTGCTCTAGCCACCAATCAATCTTCAGCGTATTGCAGGGTAATTGGGAACAACGGGGCAAAGACAAATACCATCTGCTCGTGGACATTGAAGCCGCCTTACTGCTATTATTTTAACTATCGCAAGCCGCAAGCGTTCAGCTGAGGATAGTAAAAAGAATCAAAGCTGATTAACGTGGAGAACCTCATCGGCGAATGACAGTTCTACAGAGATGAGGGGAAAAGGCGTCCCCGGAGAGGTTTGATGTGACCTCATCATTCGTCTAAATATAAACCGACTTCATCGATCAAAGCCAAACCGCGACTAGCTATTAGAAAGACATGACATGTCATCCTTTTCTGGTGATATCAATATACATGTAGTCACAGAAAATAATTAAACTATGCTAAATAAATTGTCTCAATATTGTATTGAGACAAGACAGTTAGTTTTGTTATTTTTGTTGAAGGATTTCGACATTTTGACGGCTCTTGCGAACCTTAAGCCTTAGACTTATGAAACAAACAGGGAAACGTGATCAACCAAAACAACGTAGCTCAAGGAATTAGGAATAAATTAAGAGGGAATCTACCAGAGGTTCGAGTAACGAGTGGAGAAGAACTTTGTACCGAGATTATTTACATCGTATTGCAAATGTCTGTGCGACTGTTTTAATTATCTTCTCAAAAGAAATCGTTTCTAACAACACCAAATGTCGAAAACAAATTTTGGCGTTCGTATGAAACACTTGAAGGTACTGCTGAAATGACAATCATGATGAAATTTTACCTGTTCGCTCAATTTCTCTGAGCTTTAAAACTTATTTCCTCGAGTTTCCATGGGAAATTGTTTTCGGTGTTATTTCAGGCAATTATTTACATCCTTAGCTCTTAGAAAATGCAAAAAGGACCGTAATTTACTAAAATTAATCTGGTACAGAGTTTTTGTCCACTTAAAACTGAAATTGCTCGGTTTCCTATCGGATTTCGTCTTAATGCGTCTGAAATGGTGAGCGGATAACATTAGCGGACAATAAAGTTATGTGCTTACATCAAATGAAAACAACATTAAGCAGAAACATATCAACATCAGTCCCAAACTTGCGAGATACTAGACAGGGCTAGAATCTACACTAGTCAGCGGTCTAGTGTGCTTAGTGAGAATCAGACCTAAGCAATTTCGTCGCTCTGCCTCTTGAACGAATTTAATTAGCTTAATTCGTCTAGCATGATGGTGCAGGCGAGAGACGTTCTGAAAAGAACTGTTACTGACGACTGACTTATCGAAAACAGAAGCGGAAGTCGTTACCAAAGTAAAGAGGAAAGTGTTTAACTGATTGGTCACTTTGGTCGTATTCATATTGGCAGCAAGACCCGTATAAAGTTTATCACAATGTAAGTTTCGGTCCGTCTACTTCAAGTCAAATTACATCGTTCTCTTCAAGGACCGCTCGTGGGTTTTTCGAAGTTGAACAGAGTTCAAATGCGATTAAATGGCAAAAAAACTGTGTGGCATTTCATATGATTGGGGAGATTCATTAGGACCTGTTAAGAGAAATAAAAACGCAAAGTTTAACATAAAGGGATTACTTGTCCTTGGTATGATAACTTTAACTGAAGACCTTTTTGAGTAACCATAATTTGCCAATACACAAGGCCTAAACGTGCTTGAACTGAAATGGCACATAGTTACTGCATGGGCGCTCTATTTCAAAGCCGACGTAGTAGACCAGATTGCGAATTTGTCTAGAGTCAGTAATCACTGAGATGTGTTAAATGATAAGTTCAGCCGAACAACTTTGAAATGTTATCTAATATTTAGTGTGGATTTTCCTTCCGAGCATTGTAAGAAACTCAACGAGTAATTGACTCAAATATCTCTTTCTGGCTTATGCAAATGAACCCAAATGAATGTAAAGTTGCATGACTCGGTGGTACACTTTACAATTTTGATTACATGTGCTAAAGCTTTGCAGCTGTTACATTCTCACCTAAGAATCTAAATTAATTCAGCTAAGTAATCTCAATTAACGATTTTAGAAATTAATTAACCTGATAGTATTCTATATATTGAGCCAAACTGATGGGTATTTTTACGCATAAGCCACACAACTACTAGCTAGCTCCAGAAAAATCATATAGTCATAGGATCAAATTAAAAATATATTTATCTAGCCACTGTTTAAATTTTCAAATCTGCGGCGTTTTAGGAAATGATTGCTTACCTATCTTGTATTCAACATATTCCTAAGCCATTTTAACCATTTTTCCCACCTGAGCAAACATCATTAATATTGGGCGACGATCCCCTTAAAAACCGCTTAACTATCACCTACAATAAAAAGATTTCAGATTCAAGATCAAAGTTCCAGGTGAGACAATTTTCACACTAAAAATAATGAGACTTTCACTTGTTATCTTTGCTATCTCCTATATTTGATGTTAATTCTATTGATCATTCAAACGAGTGAGAAAGGACTGATCGACCCTCAAATTTTTCACTTGACATAACTTTCACTGACAACAGAGCAACAGTTCGAAGTTATTTTTTGTTATCCATTTATCCATCTATCAGAAACAACCAACTCTTAACTTCCTCTAGTGACAAACGATCACAAACTTCTGAGTGATATGGGAGACACTTAATAAGCCTTTAACTAAATAGGGTGTTCGGTAGGCGTACATATCACAGTTCAGATTACGACTCTGTGACACATTAGAACTTGGTTCAACTAAGCTCTGAAATTCTTATTTTTTTACTGCAATACGCATCCCCACAGGGAGAGCAAATGTTCAAAACTTTTAAATTTGTATTTATAGTTGTATTTATATTCATAGCTGTTTGAAAAATGTTACCCTAAGACATTGCGTGTGAAAATCATAACGTCCGTTTCATTTTCAGGAGAGGAAAATTGAGTCATGTTGTTTGTGATTGCTGGTATATGTTTGGCTTTCCTCAGTGGGAACGTCAGTGGCGACTCAGGTATCTCATAATAAAATGTATGAAAAGTCTCTTTCATCTTTTGTACAGCGAAGAAAGAAAAATACCTATTGGTCCAATTGGTCTCCTTCGCAGTCATTATTAGGGGTCGGGAGCAACGCTTCTCTCTGGTCATTCCCCAAAGGCGGAAAGAAGCAGATACGATATATACGGTCAAGTTGTTACGTGGTTTGGCAAGAAATTGCTTTCGCTATGTCTCTTTTTAGGGAATGCTTTCTCCTTTCAATGACCTTTTTTGTTCCGTTGTGGAGTCTTTCTGCGGCAATCCCAAATTTCATTACGATTTTTGACCAAGTTTTTAATTGCTCATGTTTTGGGGATCTTGTGTAAGCTGAATTGATCAACATGACACGGGCGTGGGACAAAGAAAAAACCTGAGTACCCGACAGGAATCGAAACCATGACCTACCGAACACCAGGCGGGCGCTCTATCCGCTCTGCTACGAGAACTCACGAAGAGTAATGTCATTTAACTGAGTTCATATGTGACAGACGTCCCACATACTGCTAGGATTAGCACTGACGAAGTCATCGTGAGTAGTGATAGGTGAATAAAGATGGTAAATTGTAAGCTCAGTAATAAAATGTGAAAGGTGATCTTTTTCTTTTTAATCACCATTTTCACTGGCATCACATCGACGTTTACTGAATTTTAAATAGTACAATCTGTACGTCTACACACGGAACATTCCTTAATTAAATATTAGATGGGACAATTCTTTAGATCATACTTTCAAGGACACTTACATATGTTATACAGTATGTAAGAGCTAAGAACCCTCACTCGATTATTTTTCAGGTTATACACTGTTCTTCCCAAACAAAGGAGTAACTGATTATGTGAATATATGGGGAATGCGCAGTTTGTCGCAATTCACTATTTGCTTTTGGATGAAGTCAAGTGACACAGCTCCAGGCACCGCATTCAGTTACAGCGTACCAAGCCGAGATAACGAACTAATCGTCTTCAACTATGAGAACTTAGCTCTGTATATTAATGGGGATCACAGGTAAGGTTTTCGTAACTCTCCCACCACACAGAAGAATTCCAAATTCAATTCTACAATTTATTTGAAAACAAACAATACCAGAAGTAATACTAGCTCCTTTGCTCCCTAACCAATCAGAGCACAGTACATATAATTAGCATCTTATTAAAATGGCTCTCGACCAATCAGAGAGCCGGATTTCATCCACGTGACTAAAATTTGTGACGTAGTTGATTTTGAGGACCAAGAGCCAATCAGGAGTCGAATTAAGAATTCAAGATGGCGGTGCTAACCGTAATCCAAGATGGCAGGGATGGAGAATCACGCCAGGCCCCTAAGCCTATGACTGTGAGAGGCGTGATCCTTGTCACGCGGAAACGCGTGATTACCATCTTTTTGTTAAAAAATCAATACAAAAATCGATAAACAGATACTTACAGTGTCCTGCCCACAAACAACAAAAGTCCACACGGTCTGCCACCATGTTGAAGACTCACTGGACACAACATCGATTACAGTCACTTTAAGAATTTGTAAGACAAGCGCAAAGCGGATACAAAGAACTTCACTGGAAATAACTTCTCGCGTCTTTTTTCCCGTTATTGTTTAACATTCATAATCGTAGCCTCGATTCTCCTTACAAGCAACGACCGTTGAATGTCCTCGAGTACGTTTAGNAGCTTTCAACTGAATGGTCACGGTATAAAGATATTAGCCAAAGACATAGAAGACAGACCAAAATTGGTTGACTTCAAGGCTCACTTCGCATAGATAACGGAAATGACAAACGTTCCACTTATTAGCGTATTATCAAGTTGGTAGAAGTCATGAAGTCTAGATAAAGTCTTGGAAATCGTTGGGATATGCATCTTTGGTACTTTCAATAGCAACATGACCGTGGGTTTCAAAATTTTGCTATCAGGTTGGGTGTATTATATTGGACATGAGTGACTCAAAAATAAAACAAGTGGCTGGTTAAGTATAAAAAAGATCAGTTTCGCCGCGGTTTCGAAGACTATCGAACATTGCCGGTTTAAGATACCAGACGCACTCGTTAAAAATACAGTGCATCGATCATTCCTTCCCTCTGATGAGTGCTTAGCGTAATGTAGCGTAAATATGAATGCCAGAGCAACCCCAGATACCCGTAACCCAGCAGTGCTCATTATAACCGCCACATTATTGTTTCCTTTCCGGTGTAGATCAACGGGTATTTCAGCTAACGACGGTGATTGGCATCAGATCTGTGCTACCTGGGAGAACGTTAATGGTGAATGGAAACTCTACAAAGATGGGAAAATGGAGAAGACTGGGACGGGTCTCAAGACAGGTTACGTGATTCAAGCGGAGGGATCTCTGGTGTTGGGCCAAGAACAAGACTCAACTGGAGGAAAGTTTGATCAGAATCAGTCATTCCAAGGAAGCTTGACAAATGTAAACGTGTGGTCTCATGTCTTGCCAGAGTCCACGATCAAGGAATTGTCAGGATGCTGCCGTGCCGGCGAAGGAAACGTGTACATGTGGTCCGATTTCATATATGCAATTAAGGGAAATCCACGTCTTGTAATCCCACCAACTTGTAAATGTGTTTACTAGATTGAACAGAGGCTTTTTTGTCAAAATTGAATTTAGCCTGTAAGTTGTAAACAACATTTAGCTGATTTAAAACAAAGGCGATAAGAGTCTTATGTCTAACGTAGTATACAGCAGAACTGCATAAACAGTAAAAGGCATAATCAAATGTAACTGGAATGTAAGAGAGAAACTAGTCTTGAATTTATAATATATGTTGTACTCCTCAACACTGTCGTTGGCCATTTAAGCGGAAATTGAAATAAACAGCTCTAGCTATTAGGACAAGCTATCTCCCTCGCATTTGTCGTCCCTTAATGACTCAAACTCGTTTGATATTCTTCCTTGTGTGACATCTAATCCCTTTTCCGCACGTGTGCGCTAGGCTTCCCATATATACCTATGGCAAAGAAAATCAACCTAGGAAAAACGTTGATACCAGTCTCATGCAATCCTAAGCAATGGGCCTTTTAGGATATACGGCGGCCATTTTAAATTCTGTTGTTTCAAGTAGCTATTATGGGATGCTAATTTGCTCCCCGAACATCCCATAATAGCTAATTTAAACAATAGAATTCAAAACGGCCCCCATATCGCGAAAAAGGTCCTTGAACGCAGCCTCCCCAACCCCTCTCCCCTGCCAAACCGAGCCAAGTAATAGTGATTTTGCCTTGAATCCAAAGTTGTTTATGGAAATAATGCGGGGAAAGTTCTTCTAGAAACTTAAGAGAGTTGACGTAATCAAGACGGCGAAATCGAGGAAAACGTCGATTGAAACATGAATTTAAACTAAACAACAAATCTCACGATAATATAGAGTCAATCAGTCGGTCTATTACGGTCATAGCTAACTAAAAACGAAATATGCAGGACAACGTTAAATTCGAAAATTACAATTAGGCAATTTCACGTCGTAGTTTTCCAGAGAACGCCAAATAAATGTACCAAGATTTATAACGCACGTGTAGAGCCATTGTACTGCTTATTATGTTAATTTACACCACGTTCTTAATGTATTTCCAAAGTAATACTTTAGAAAAGCGGAGGTTTATAGATGGCGACAAATGTTTGTCGATTTGTAAAAAATTATCTCGCCATGTAATACNTATAGAGTCAATCAGTCGGTCTATTACGGTCATAGCTAACTAAAAACGAAATATGCAGGACAACGTTAAAAATTCGAAAATTACAATTAGTCAATTTCACGTCGTAGTTTTCCAGAGAACGCCAAATAAATATACTAAGATTTATAACGCACGTGTAGAGCCATTGTACTGCTTATTAAACCCTTTGTTGGTGACATCCCTGATTCCGCTACCGTTGTGGGGAGCTAAAAATCCATTCTATCCTTCAGGAAACCTCTCAGTTAACCAAAGGCAATTGGAAGGAAGGTTAAACATTTGGGTCGAGGTCAGGCAGTAAATTAAACTTCGAAAGGTGAGCGACTGTTAACACTAAACGATGAATAAGAGCCTTCGATTCATAAACGACTGCTATTTCTTTCATTCTTGGAAATTTTTTTCTTCAGCTGCACTACCATAAACACTTTTCAAAACTTATGTTAATTTACACCACGTTCTTAATGTATTTCCAAAGTAATACTTTAGAAAAGCGGAGGTTTATAGATGGCGACAAATGTTTGTCGATTTGTAAAAAATTATCTCACCATGTAATACACCACAAAAAAAGAAACATTTTTTTTTCCTTTTACTGCAAATGTTGACATTGTGTACTTGCTTTTTGTTTTAGGGGTAATCTTGCAAGAGTTTCCAGGACATTTCAGCAAGGATCACTGTATGTGGTTCCATACTGTTTCCCAGTACAATCAACGTCAAAGTTTTACTACATTTTCTATCTCGGTTTAATACGTATCAGTTGTCTAGTCTTAAAGTTTATAAACTCCGGTTCTTTTTAAATTTGTTTATGTCCCCGGCTGATATCTCTCGGTATCAAAAGAAGGAACAAGGCCAACTTTTAATTTCTGCAAAACAAGCGATCTTTGTTGGAAAAAGATTCGAGAGTATACAGTTTCTATTACAGAAAACTTTCAAAGGAATTGAAGCCAGGCAATATAATAGCATTGTCAACTTCATAAAATAATTAAAATGTTTTATATAATTTTCATCAACAGCTTGTAACTAGACGTACTCACCTGAAAACCAGTTTTCTAGAAATATGGATTTTACTTCGTCAGCCGGTTCCCCATATAAGCACACTTTTCGATTCATCCTAGGTGGAAATAGGCAAGGAAAGTTTCCTCAGATTCCAGGACTCTATAGGAGTAAAAGTAATTCCTGTTATTAAATGCAAACAATATTTTTTTCAAACGAAAATGACACACTAAAAAACTCTCATGCGAGTGCTGGGTTTCACTTGGGTATCACATAAAGCCAATTACTATTTTTGTTCCAGGAAAAAGATCATTTTACTAAAAAGAAGATTGAACAGGATGCATTGGTAATAGCAAGTGGCTTCCAGAACGGCCTTGTGTACAAAACAACAATAACAAAATAGTTATAAATATTGGACAAGAACATAAAAACGTGGATAAAAACTTCAAAACCTCGGGTTAAAAACTGTTTAAAAACTAGATGAAAAATTCGAGTATAAGAATACGAATATAAGGAGGAGTTTACACAGATCATATAAGAATTAAGACTTAACGTCTTCGAACCTCTGTTAAAATTATTTCTAATGTGTAGAAAAATGGCCGAGTGGACGGATTTTGTTTCTGAATTCAAACAATAGATGAAAAATACGAGTACATAAGCACGAATATGAGAAGTCGTTTTCAGTGATCACATAACAATTAAGAAGGAAATTCTCCTAAGTTCTGTTTAAATTATTTCTGATCATGTGTAGATAAAAGCCCGGGTGAACAGATTTTGTTTCTGAATTGTGCTGTCACCATACTGAATCTTCCCAGTCACCACCTGCCTAAACAGAAATTCATATTTTTTCGTTGTCCGCCAAACGAGGCAGATGAACGTAAAGACAAAACTTGAAAGCAGTGAGTGTCAAAAATCGCCGACACATTTGAAGGATGAAGGATTTATGGTTCAAAATGGTTGAGTTTTTTTCACATACAATGTAATGGAATACTGATAATTTTATCTTTAAAACTTTGCGGCGCCTGGTAGTAAAATGCAGTCATCTTGATTGACAGTACGTGATCTTTCCATCCATTTGTACTGTATGTCCGTTTACTTAAACGGTGGGCGCGATTTCTTGAAAAATTATCTTTTAAAAGCTGTTCCCTCGTTGATAAGTAATTTTGTAATTATTCACTTTACAAGCACAAATTGTTTACTACATGTAATGTTATAACGGGGTTATTTTACAGCTAATTCCATTTTGTAATACCATCCAGGATCTCTAAATAATACGCTGTTGTAAGTACTCTCTGATTGCGTTCCGCTGCCATCTCTCAACACCTTATTCCAAATCCTCATGAATACACTCTTCATTTTTCGGGCGCCTCTCCAACTACCAGAATGCCTAGATTAGGCTTCGGCTACTTCCTTTACAAGAACACTCGTAAAATATATCTTCGTAGGTTTTACAGAAAAACAACTGTTTAAATAAAGTCGGCCGTTAAAACCACAAGATTGTGGTGGCCTAAAAATTTAAATAAAATTCGAAATTCGTCGTAATTCTGCACCACTTTTTTATAACAATATATGTAATTAGTACTTTGAAGCGGAATCTTTCTGTAAAGAAGCTGCTTATCAAAACAGTGATAGCACATTTTTAAAAAAAAAAGGGCGCCTTATGTCTCAAGAGTCCAGTAAAATAGACAGCATTCAAACTTAACCCTATTATATTTCTTCCTGAAAACTTTAATCGGTTAGTTAATAGGTCGGACTTTTCGTTTTCTTTAGGATAACGTAATGTGAGACTATAATGGAAATGCAGAATACAGCGTCACATTGGCGGCTGAAACGATATAATAAGTCAAAGAATATTCGAATTTCTTAATAACTAAAAGGCAATTTTGTGAGTTACTGAATTTCCGACTCCACTGTTCCACAGGTATCAAAAGAATGAAGAACCAAGCCGTCGTTTCTCTTTTTACATTTCTTCTCACCGAAAGTGACTGCTTTGCAGGACCTTTGCCATCGGGAAAAAGAGAATTACAAGGAAAGGTTGGTTTTTGTTATGTTTGGGTTTTTTCCGTTGTTACACCAAACAGTGTAGTAGCTTGGACTTGTTTTACTTCAGTGTATTATTTGAACATCGTATTATGTTAAGCACCTCGCATTTAACTCAACTCGACTCCGAAATGCCCCAGGCCCAGAAATAATCCCAAAGTGAGGCTGACATGATCCCAACCCCAAATGATCAGCACGTTTTTCTAATCTGGGCTTAAAGTAATCCCCAACGATACATATAAAAAAAAAATTAGATGGGGATATGGTCAGGTGGCTCAATATCAGTTTCCAAAACTTTACAAAGCCAAAACAAGAAGAAAGACATTGAAACGGATATCCAACTAATGATTGTAGGTTTCAAAGCTAACAAGATTTGCGCGAAATGTGGAGTCTAATAGCATTGGTTTTCTTTTTCTAATTTTTTCTTCTACAGTTGAAAAGAGCGGCAAGTAACGTGTGTCTCGTGGCAAGAACTCTTGGATGTGGGGGCATAGAACAGAACGTCTACGACGACCGCAGCGAACAGCGATGAAAACTAGCCGAATACTGATTAATACTGAACCTTGTAATTTTGGAAGAATTAGATGATGATAGTTATAATAAATTATAACAAATACAATAAAGTAGCTGTGCAGTTATTTCTACAGCACCTTTAACATCATTACTTCAATATTGCTTTGCCATTCACTTATCAATTCATTCTTCCTGGTCTTACGGCAAGTGTGCCATCAGAGTAATAAATGCATCGCAGACCACATTTTAACCATGCTAAAGTTACTCAGTATTTACTGACTGATTGACTGACTGACCGACCGACCGACCGACCGACCGACCGCCCGTCAACCAACTCACTGACTGACTGAAAGATGGATAGATTTCGTTACCTGTTTTCCATTTCGATTCGATTTTAAAAAGAGGCACTTGTGCCTTCAATTACAGACCCTCGTTTTGAATTCTTATAGGTCATTTGAATGCTTCAGTTTTGATGCTATAAAATATTTATTTCGTGATTATTTTATGTAACAATATTTGACTTCTTCTGCAACCCCATAATATAGTTTAACTTTCGATAACAAACTGCTAAGTAGAGGGCATTTTGAGATTGTAATACCTACAATGACATCTTTCTGGCACGGTGCAC